CTCAACAGTGTGAGCAGTGAGAATATATGGTGGTAGAAGATAATGGGAAATATTTGAAACACTGAGCAAGACTTGAATAGACCCTTTCCTAGAAGATAACCAGAGAACCAGAGCAGATACAGGCATTGGAGAAGGGAAATGGTGTGTCTGTCAAGTTGGAGCAACTCTCACCAGTCTGCAGATTACCTTGCTTGGTTATAAATGTCTTCAGCACTAAAGCACGGGATTTCTTTGAAGTCTGATGTCTCAGAAATAAAGGTATACCTAAACCATGTGTCTCCAGCACTAATGCACATGTAACTTTAATGCACATGTGGCTATGTATAGTATCTGTTCCTGCTCAAAGAAGTAATAAGCTCAATGCTTTCTGATTTTCCACTAGCTCTGGGCAGAGGCCAACCCCCTGCATGAAGGGTTCCAGCCGTGACCAGAAACAAATATGCAGCAACACCAGTTCTGTTGTGTGACACCAATGCAGTGCTGTATTGCAATACCACGGTGTTGTTCCCCCCCCCCCGAAGCACCGTAGTATTATAGTTTCCTTCCTAGTGTTTCAATGTGCATTTTATCTATATTTCTATAGCTTAAATTGCTAACTGTCACAGGGATCCCATGGGGAATAAAAGTAATAATATATTTGGTATTAAACCCATTGACCAACCACTAGCATAGAGAATACAGATTGCTACACATTTATGTCTGTAGAATGTCCTTGCAGGTATGTATGAGCATTGCTTGGTTCTTTGCCTCAGGCTAGGGATGGGAAGAAATCTAAATCATTTTTGATGAGATGGATTTTTTTCTGCGGAGAGAGCTTGCCAAAAGTTTGTTAATCCATAAAAGATTCCTTACATCCAGCACAAAAAGCAGGCAAGTGCATTTTCCCCCCTTTTAAGATTTCCCCAATTTGCACAAAATGCCTCTGTGCAAAACGAATGTCTCTTAGCGTTATGAGGAACTCTTGACAAAGGACTGGCTGTCTGGTTGTTGTTGGTTGTTTTTTTTAATGCATACACAACCCCACTACGCTTCTAATATTTAACAGTCCATATATCCATATAGCCACACAACGTGACAGTCCGTGTAGTTTGCACAAAAAATTTACTATTCCCACAAAAGGGAAAACCCTTGTCAAAAACAACAGAGTAAAACTAGTGCCAAAAACAATACATGTCTTGCTTTCATGCAGGGCAAGGAGAAAGAAAACGTTGTGGTTCCTTGTTCTTAGGCTCAAGAGAGGGACAAGGAAAAAAGTTAGATCCAACCTCTGGTAGCAAAATGCCTTGGGACAGTCCCTAAGTCATTACTGGAGAACCCATCATCCTCCAAACCTTGTTAACTAGAGCTTTTTCAGCCCCTACTATAAATGGGCCATTGCCAATGCTGAGTCATGACAGCAGTTGCAGTTTTAACAACATCAGTGGTGTTGGGAAGGGATTAAACAAATCAACAAATCAACAAACAAACATCTGGAAAGCCCCAGGTGACTCTACTCTAAATCTCTCCTCGTCCCAAGTAAACCATTTCAAATCCTTAACAGTTAACAGGAAGATCTGCGCTCACTTTTCTCAAGGCTGCATGTACTCCAGAAGGAATTGCATAAATATTTATGAAAATGAAGCAGGAAATATTTTCCCAGGGTAGCTTTTCTCCTCAGAGCTTTATTGGGTCACAAAAGTTTAGTAGCTATTTTAAACAAACTCTCCTCTTATTGCTAGATCTCCGACACAGGAACTGCCTGACTTAAAAGAAGAAGCCAGAAACGCACCAGGAGCATATACAGCACTTTACCTTAAAAGACAGAAGGCCATATCTTTCCTCAGTTGTACTGTTTGCTCTCCTTTCTGTTTGTTTTGATACAAAAGGAACCGAGAGCTGGGCTGGATACCCATCTTATCGATTCCATTTAATATAGTTTATTTCTTATTCAGGCCAGGTTGTGTGAAATCTGGGGCAGTGAGTGTGATATCTTTTGCATTCAGCTTAGATCAAGTCCTCTGAGAAAAGGCCTCCGGTCCCACCAAAGGTTCTAGAACAGGGTTCTACCCTTGTTCTAGAGTCTCTGGGGAAGGTGCTGAGGACTTGAGTACTCAGGAACATAAAGGACTGGAGGCCTTTTCTCTGCCATAGGGACCAACCAGGAGGTGCACAGACCACAGAAAAAGTGAAGAATACAACAAAAAAAAATTGAAAGTATAAATGACTTTCTTATAGTATACATATCCATATAGTATACATATCTTATAGTATACATATCCATTTTTTTAAAAAATTGGTGCTTAAGGGTATGAAGCAGTACAGGAGACGGCAGTGAGTGTGATATCTTTTGCATTCAGAGGACTTGATCTAAGCTGTGGGTTCCTTCTTATAGTATACATATCCATTTTTTAAAAAATTGGCACTTAAGGGTGTGACGCAGTACAGGAGAGCTGTGTGAGCTATTTGAAAGCGCATAATTGCACCTGGAGGCTCCTACAGTTCACATGTTCTGCTGGAAACAGGAGTGGACATGAGAGGGATGGGTCATCAAAAACCAGCTTCAGGGACTGCAGTTTGTCCATCCTTCCTCTGGAACTTAAACTGAGAGGAGGGGTGAATCCAAGCTCTAGTTTACATTCATGGTGCTTGAAGTCGGGAGTAACAAATGATGTCCTTTCCCTCATCCAAGTCAAGGCACATATCAACCAAGGACCACCAGATTTTTTTAGCATTTGATTCAGAAAATCCCACAAATACCTCTTCTCCTATCTGGCAGCCCTATGTGTTGGAATGCTAAAGGTGGCAAATGTGCGGTCCCCCACTCCTGCTGCCTCCACTCCAAGAAAGCCAGGTTCTCCAAGGGTGGCTATATGTGGTGGTGACAATGGTGTAGTGGGTGTGCCAGCAGTGCCCAAGAGGTCTTATCTCATGATGTCCTTTCCCTCATCCAAGTCAAGGCACATATCAACCAAGGACCACCAGATTTTTTTAGCATTTGATTCAGAAAATCCCACAAATACCTCTTCTCCTATCTGGCAGCCCTATGTGGCATCACCATGTAGGTCAAAGAGACAGTTGCCTCAGGTGTTGGAATGCTGAAGGTGGCAAATGTGCGGTTTTGGAATGCTAAAGGTGGCAAATGTGCGGTCCCCCACTCCTGCTGCCTCCACTCCAAGAAAGCCAGGTTCTCCAAGGGTGGCTATATGTGGTGGTGACAATGGTGTAGTGGGTGTGCCAGCAGTGCCCAAGAGGTCTTATCTCATTCTACCCAATGATGGGGATGACCCAAGAAGACCTTTTGCTGCCACAGATAGAGCACACACTCCTTGTTGACGTGAACACATACCCATTGTTGACAAGCCTACAGCATCCAGTTCCATGAGATTTCAGGACCCAAACCTGACAGCGGGAATTAGCTGTGATGTCACAGAATTTGTGATGTCACAGAAGAGAGGCAGACAAGATGTGTGTGGGGTTCCCCCCAAAAACTGCACCTGAGCCAGCAGAGAAATTCAGATAAATGAGCCACAAAACCTAAATAAAACCTGGTTCACTGAATAATAGGGCAACAGAGACCTGTGAGGAGAGGAGACCCCTTTTTGGTAGCCAGGCAAGAAATGAAGTGCAGCAAGCAGCTGTGGTGGTTGGTTGGCCAACTCAGATAAATGAGCCCCAAAAGCTAAATAAAACCTGGTTCACTGAATAATAGGGCAACAGAATGCTGTGAGGAGAGGAGACCCCTTTTTGGTAGCCAGGCAGGAAATGAAATGCAGCTGCGGTGGTTGGTTGGCCAACCTTCCTGCTAGAGCACACCTATAACATATATGACAGGTGAGGTGGTTTTCCAGCCCCTATGCTAGGGCTGGGTCTTCTGGGAAGCTGACCAGCAGCCCATGGGGAGACCATTTGCAGGCACTGCACGGCTAGTGCCAGTTTTGTGCAACCACAAGGCTCATGGGTGCAGCACTTGCTCCAAATGGCATAGTGGGTGTCCAGATGCAAGTGCCCAACAGTTCTCTCCCCAGTCCACTCCCTTTGCTTGCATAAATTCAACCCTTACACAAACACTTGTGCACTGAGCCCAGTGCCCTCTGGGAATGGGTGAGGCTTAAGGCCCTAGCTTTAAAGCCAACTCAGAGACAGAAATTTCCTCCTTTGGCAACATGCGTCCTAAGATTTGTCTGTGAATCTAGAGAATAATTGTCTGAGCTTTCAGCTGATTCCCTGAAACCTGGCCAATCTACTCTCTACCCATATACAGGAGCAAATGAATTATATTTCATCACCAGTGATAGTACGGTATCTTCCATCTCGCCTAAAGGCATTCGTCTTGCTTAAGGAGTGCAGGGCGGGATGCCAGGCCCAGATGCCTCTGATCTCTGCCAATCTCATTGCAATTTCTTGGCTTCCAGCATCTACCATCTAAGGCAGCTCCCTCACTCTGCCTAATGATAGGACTGGCTTCTCCTTAAAGTGCACAGCTCTGTAGCCTTACAAGTTGATGCATATGCATCCTGAGTAGAGATGGGGACAACTCACAAATTTATGAAGGAAGAATAAAAATGGGAAAATAATTGTCGGGACATAAAATTTGACAAATATGGATCGACGAATATTTAACAAATCGGCTATTTTCGTCGAAAAAGCCAATCCGTTTTTATATTGATCCCCATCTCTAATCCTGAGACATAAGCTCCACTGTCGTCAAAGGGGCTTACATATTATGTGTTCAGATATACAAGCTTGCTGAATTTTCTATTACATTTCCCATATAAATATAGAGCATGTAGGAATTGGGCCCTTCCATTGCCTTGAAGGCTGGCAGGCAGAACACAAAGCAGAAGATTTATGCATTCAAGATGTCTCCTCTGGCCTGCACACATAATTAATTCACAGCCAGCAGATAAACTTTAATAAACAACTGTGACGGCTGTATAAACATAGTGCACAATGTATGATCTGTGCTCTGCTAACTTCTTAAAACATATAAACACAAAACACCCCCCCACACACACACACACCCATTAGGGTCTCTTCAATGCTGCCATTCTTTATTTAGTTCTAATCAAGTGGCGTCTTCAGTTTAGCTTCTTCCCCAGAGTTATATGGGAAAATCTTATTTTAGCGATTATTAATGCTGGAACAACGAAGGGCATTTCCTGTGGAGCTTGAACAGCGAGAGCATGAAGGAGCAACAACTCTGGAAACATGAAACCTCCTTGTTACTGTTTCTTGTCCTCCTTGGTCAAGTTTTAGGTTTAAATGATGACAGCCAACCAGCGACCGAAGTCTGCTCAACACACACCATTTTACCTGGACCAAAAGGTGAGACTTTAATAGGACATGCAAGGTAATTTTTAAAAATATATTTTGCAATAACTAATGGCAGTTTATGTGGTTCAGCAGTAAATTTACATGTGATTTTTTAAAAAAATCCACACCCCTCTTCAAAAAGAGATGTAATCTCATAGAAGAAGAGGGGATCCTAAGTTTTATTTGGCTCCTGTAGCTGTGCCTTTAACAACAGCAATTGTTTATCCTTCAGTGGCTAACCTAAGCTTGCTCATATAGAGAAAAGCTTAACCTGCAGTGGTTGTAGGGAATTTCAGAAGAGGTGGCCATTGACACATCAAAGAGGACATGTGTTCCCAAGAAAGAGGAGAATAAATGCATGTTTGTTTGTTGTTTTGATTTAGATGCCACCCCATAGTGCTAGAGCACTCTCTGGGTGGTTTACAACATAAATATGCAAACAACAGCTTGCCCCCCCACCCCTGCAAGCCGGGTATTCATTTTACTAACCACAGAAGGATGGAAGGCTGAGGCTACCTTGAGCCAGCTATCAGAACCTATTGGGATCAAACTCAGGTTGTGACAGAGGCTTGACTGCAGTACTGCGGTTGATTGTATCATTACTTATATAGAAATTCAGCACATTCCAGTAAAGTGGGAAAGACAGGCCCAAGTGACGTGTGTGTGTTGAATCTCCAATCCAGGTGTTCCATGTAGATGGGCAATATAAAGGCTCCTTAGGCTTCTTTATTTTCAAATGATACTTTGAACATGGAATTCCTTGAGGATTGTCCCCTGGCAGCTTTTTGAATGGGGGACTCTCCTCCATAAAACACAGCATAAAGCCACACTAAAGTTGCACATCCAACTGCTGTTAGAGGCACAAGAATAGATTACCCCAGGCTTGGGTTGGCTTAGCTTTTTGCTTTGTCTTGACAATTGGCAGTCTTAAGGAAAGAGAGATTTGCCATGTAAGATTAAAAAAATGGTATCCCATTAGTATGAATTCAAATAACATTTATACCATATGAATTATTATTCTTAATCAATACATTATGTGATCTGACCATTTAATCTATGCGGCTGCGGTGATCACAGGAAAAGAACAGAAAACACAATGACAGGAAGTTACAGTATTTGATTAGGTTAATGAGCTTAGGATTTTGCAAAGAAAATTCATCTGGATATGTTTTGACTCTGATGAAGACAAACCACCAGCAGAGAGTCTGATGAAGTCTGTAAGACAACTCATCTGTCTTCTGTGTGGCAGTGTTTAGCCTGAAATTGTTACTTGTACTATTAAAAAAGTAACTTGTTCGATCATTAATTACCTTACTGTCTATTACTTTAAAGAAAACCTTAGGAGTGATACAAGAATGGCATAAAACCTGATCGTTTTTGTCAAATCGCCTCTTTAAAATGTTTTTAAAAGCCCTTTGAAAGGAACATTTGGAAATAATTAGACAACGTTACTCATTTCACAAATAAAGTCTCTTTGTTCTGGCTTGCTAATTAGTTTTGAAAAGTATCCATTACACCCTTGTTCCTCACAAAAGTAAGTGGTTACCAATTATGGAATTTGTAACTGGTCACTTCCAAGCTATGAGTAAGGATGCCACCAGATAACATAGGCTGATGAGTAGCTCTCACAATGATTAATGCATCTATGGGTGGGAATTCAGACTGGAGCCAGGTAGAGCAAGCCCTGCACTACAGCTGCTGGTATGTTCTCTTGGGAAATGAGCAGACCTTTCCTCTTGTAATGCCATGGCCTCAATCCAACCGCACATTCTTTAATATACCTGCTCAGAAGTCAATGCCACTGAGTTCAGTTGGATTCACTCCCAAGGAAGTGTGCCTGGTACTGCCATCTTAATGTTTATTCATTTCCCTGTAATTGCATTTGCTCCTTAAAACTGAGTAGAGCTTGGCTGTTGTCCAGGTGTATTTTTAATTCCCACTCCCATCAGACATAGCAAATGATGGAGGGTTGCGGACGTTGCAGTCCAAAACCACATGGAGTTGCTCTTCCTTAGAAAAAACAGCAGACAGTTTCATGGTTCTCCTGCCATTTTGTCAAATCCCCTCACGAGCAAGCCTAATTCTCTGGTTGCGTGTTTGTGAGTTTGTTTGTCGGCATGGTCACGATCCCCTCACAAAAAAGGACCACCTGTTTGTGCAGTGTGTTCATGTGTACACATGCATGAGCTGAAGTATACATAGTTCAAAGACAAAGAACATGAAATCACAGAGTCGTGTTGGCAGATGAGATTGCGTCCCTTGGGCAACCACCACAGAAATAAAATCTTTCCCATCTACCCTGGTGAAGAAATGGGTTCTAATCTTTTACTTTTTTTAAAAAATAGTGTTTTTAGCTTTTTAAATAATTTTAATAATTGTTTCCCTCTTGGGCTGCCACAACCAACAGTTCAGCCCTGTTGCTGTTTCAAGCTTAGTTTCAGCCTAGACTGGATCGGTTTTCCCTGTTGCTTCCCTACGCCTGCCGACCTCACAATTGTTATTTACGAGTTGTCCCAATAACCTCCAGAGTCTACTAATTGGAGAAGCAAAAAATAAGAGATATCAGTTGAATTCCCTGCCCCTGACCTTAGACTGAATTTGAACCGAATTGTTTACCTTCTTTGGAGGCTGGTGAAGGAAATGTATTTGGAGTTGTGCAGGAGGGGCTAGTAAAATTTGGAAGTTACTCCTGTCAGCAGAGGAAAAGCACATACAGCTTTCCAAAGAGAGATTCTCTTCCCCAACAGAGGCAGTGATATGAGACTGCTGTTTACTTAGGGTGCTGTTGTGTCTTATCCCGTGGGAAAAGGCCTGTTTCCCTGGAAGAGACCTCTCTTAAAGTGACTCTTCCATGTGTACCAGATTTTCTCCAGCTCAGCTTCAAATACATTAGTTTTGCTGCTGGGCCAACAAGCAGTCCAGAACAGATGTTATTTCTCTGTCTGATCACATTCTTAATCAGCTCACTGTCTCCCCCTTCCTCCTGGTGCCACCTCTCCCGACTCTCAGGTATAGCTTGGAAATATTCTGTTTTGGACCACAGTTTCTACACAGCCTCCACCCCACCAGCATAGCCTCTGGGAGTGGTAGTTCAGGAAAACACCTTGCCCAAGTTCTGGTGAAGAGGAAAAATACGTCAAGAAGTATTGCCTTGCTTTGCATAATTAAGCACTATAAAAGCCTTCAAGATCTTCTTGGCTACCGTGTGGGACCTGTTGATGTTGGTGGATGGTTATGCAGGCAGTCATAGCTGAAGGTGGCTAAAGTAGGCAAAAAAAAAAAAAAAGACAAATCACAATGGGATCTTATAAAAGCCTTCAAGATCTTCTTGGCTACAGTGTGGGACCTGTTGATGTTGCTGGATGGTTATGCAGGCAGTTATCGCTGAAGGTGGCAAAAGTAGGCCAAAAAAAAAAAAAAAAAAAAAATCAAAATGGGATCTGATCTTGAAGAAGTTACTTTTCTGGACTACAGTTCCCAATAACCAGTGAGCTTCTGGATGTTGTCATCCAAAAATTTTAATTATTCACAGTTCTTCTTTAGAGCATACCTCTGGAGGTTCTCTACTGTGATTTGATGTCAGGGATTAGAATGGAGATCTTGTGCATGCCCTAAACTGTAGTTACTCCCCAGCTGGGTCCAGAATGTCTGAGATCGGCAGTTACACCTTTTCCCTAACCCATCACCACCTTCCTCCACTTGAGATTAACTATAGGAACACTCACTAAATGGGATACTTAGGGCTGCAGTGCATTGTCAGTTTCAGATTATGAGTCCTTGTGGACATGGCAACATCTGTTTCTTGATGTTGTTAAGTGGCACACCGGGCTTGTGAAACATACACATCAGAAACGAGCATTTATATTTCTAACTTACACAAGACAAGCCCCAGGTTCCATGTGTTCAAAGACAGAGCTGTCATTTTAAAAAGAAAAGCAGTGGTTGAGATCATATTGGCAAGGATTAAACGGGTCAGCACTGCCCATCTCTGTGGCTCACAGTGGCGATAAAAGTCTGCTCTTGATAGTAGATGAATTAGAGTTCAATAAAAAAAATATTGAAGGGATCGTTTGCTTAATAGATGTGCAAGACTGCCCCCTGCTGGACTACCTGAGGCCTGTTCTTCAGAGCATAATGGAGAGAGAGAGAGAGAGAGAGAGAGAGATTCCAGTGTAAAAATATATCCATGGATGTAAAAGTTACTTTTTGTACCACATGCCCAGAATCTCCAGAGGACATGGAGGATTTCTGAGAAATCTGCAATGTGGCATGCTCACTTTTCACACGCAAAAAACTGCCTTCTCTTCTGCAACTTTTTTCATGCTAAGATAAAAATATATTTTTTCTATCAGAATCGAAATGTCTAAAAATATATATATATTGTCCGATCTGCTTTGATTTGGATTCCTGCCTTGAGCTGGGGGGGGCCCTCCTGTACTTGTGTGTTGCCCTATGCCTGATGCCTCTACCTCCCACCAGTGTCTTGCCAGGGAGAGATGGGCCTGTTTTGCACCATTGTTGCTCCAAATGTCACCTGCAAAAGGCACCACCTGTGCCTAGCCAACTGCTGCTGTACCAGCTGCCTGGCACCCCAACAGAAATCTGGCACCACTCTGTAGCTAAGGGTTGTCGGGATAGCAATTGGTAGTGGGATGTCAGTTCTGCCACAAACCTACAAAAACCAATGTCCTCCACCAGAGAGGATGACTACTCTCCAAGGCTATCACCTCCCCTAGGTGATGAGTAACCCCAGCATTTTTTATGTTTGCAGAAAGCCTCTTTGTGCATCCATCCAAGCTCTTCCAGGGCAGCCTGGAATTTATTTTTGAGATGTGGGTCTGGCATTTGCTGACACCCACTTCCCCCTGCTTCCTTGGGCTGGTAGCTCAACCTCTTCCTTCTGATGACTCTTAAAGGTAAAGGTTCCCCTTGACAATTTTTGTCCAGTCGTGTCCAACTCTAGGGGGCGGCGCTCATCCCGCTCTTCAAGCCATAGAGCCAGCGTTTGTCCGAAGACAATCTTCCGTGGTCACATGGCCAGTGTGATTTAGACACAGAACGCTGTTTACCTTCCCACCGAGATGGTACCTATTTATCTACTTGCATTTGCATGCTTTCGAACCGCTAGGTTGGCGGGAGCTGGGACAAGGAACGGGCGCTCACTCCGTCACGTGGATTCGATCTTACGACTGCTTGGTCTTCTGACCCTGCAGCACAGGCTTCTGCGGGTTAGCCCACAGCGCCACCACGTCCCTTGCCCTGATGACTCTTAACCCTTCACAATAAGGCGGTCCCTTGCCCCCTCCTACAGTACCCACTTCATTTGCCAGCAGCAATGCCCTGTGCTGAATCTTCAGGTGGCTGAGCATATTAGAGAGGTGGCCCAAGTCGTACACCTTCTTGTGCATCTTCTTACAATGCATGCACTGAGCCATGTGAACATCTGTTGCACACTGTTGAAAATGCATCCAGATTATTGAGGGAAGCTCCAGTTTTTGATGACACGTTCTCAACAGGGATTGCTAACTTGTCATCATTACTAATTCTGACAATGGGTGGGGCAAATGCAGCTGAAAGGGCAGGGGTGGTTCCAGTGTCATGTGCTTCTGAAATAGTGCTGGCCTGGGTCCCCTCTGTCCCCTTCTCCCCCACACCAGATGCATCTGTACTTGAAGGGGAGTTCCCACCAACCACAATGCTGCTTTGCACAGGAGAGATTTGCTGAGAATGGAGGCTAGATAGGATGGCTTGAATAAGATGGAGCTGCATAGCATGAATACGGAATGTCTGGTGCTCTTCAGCAATCTCTTTCCCAGCCACAAAAGTAGCAGGCAATCCTCTATCTGAAGGCCTGCCAGAGGACAGTCAGCTTTTACAATTTATCCTCTGTTTGAAGGATAGTCCAGTCTGATGTAAAGGTCAAAAGAGAGAGGTCAGGGGTCTTGAAGTTGCCCATCCACATTTAACAGCACCTGTGCACCAGACTCAAGAGGCACACAGGTCATCTGGTGACTTTCGTCCTCAATTGGGGGTGACCTTTACTGTAACTCCTTCACATTAGGAAAAAGAAATTCTAATTTTGCATCTCCACATAAAAATTAGAGCATGCAATTTGCAAAATGGTGCCCTCTTGTGTGCTTTTCTTAATGCGTGATGCATTTTTGTGCAATGTGTAAGTGGGCCAGTTTCATACTACCACTCAGTTATAATTATTCTTACCCTACTATTGATACTCTGCTTAAACAAATAGAATATCACAGATCACACACAAGGCATCTGGTTTTCCCGCGAAGTTTCTTTGATGTGGTAAAACCAACACAAGTTGAACAAAAGCTGTGGAGAGGCCTGTGGAATTCCTTGCCCCAAGATGTGATGGCAGCTAACAGCTTACATGCCTTTGAAGTGAGACAAATGCACAGAGGCAAGGATTGTCAGATGCCCTCTTCTGAAATGACTGGCTTCAGAAAATCTTACCAAACCTCAGCTATATACATAGGTAGATGCTCTTGTTATGTGCTGTCAAGTTTCTTTCTACTTATGGCAACTCTAATTCATTTTTCAAGGTACATGAGATATTTCTAGGAGTGGTTTAACACTGCCATGCCCCTGGTGAGTTTCCAAGGAGATCTCAAGCTAAGTTTCCTAAGCCTTAGGGTGCAACAAGACAGCCAAATTGGAGCAGGCTGGAATGGGCTAAATAGGGTCACTTAAGATCATATACAGAGGAGGTATGCCATTTAGTGTGATCCAAGGTGTGGCTCAGACACCTTGGTGTGATCCAAGGATCAGGTGGTTCCAGGTCAGGAAGCTACACCACACCTTAATCAACTCTGTTTGGCCCTTCTTCCCTTTATAGGGAAATAGGAATAAGAGAAAAGAAAAAAGGTAACAAAACAAGAACAGATCCCTACCCTTGTCCTATCCTGTCTCCTCCATCTTCCGGGAGGAAGCTTTCAATTAAAAAAAAAAATCGAAAGGCATACTGCATCAGCCTTACAAGACTTTTCGTTCTTTCTTTTTTAATCTCCTCCTTCTTCCAGGAGGAAGCTTTCAATTTTAAAGAAAAAAATCAAAAGGCATACTGCACCAACCTTACAAGACTTTTTCGTTCTTTCTTTTTAAAAAACTTTGTTTCCTCTCTTTCCTCCTCCATGGAGAAGGAAGAAGCTTTCAATTTCCGGATATCTACCATGGAGAAGGAAGAAGCTTTCAATTTCCCGATATCTACTTTGGTATGAGCCCAGCAATCACACATGCTGGAACTGAACCCAAAAGGAGCAATCCTACCCACAGCAAAAGAACACAACACCTTCACAGGAACCCCAAAAGGTATGGGCTGGCATGCATCAAGGATAGGTTGGTTCAGGATGGCACATATGTTGTGAGACAAACAGCCTGTCCCCAAACAGTGGGCCCAATGCCTTTACAGCTGTTTCTAAGTCTCCCATTCTATGCATTACATCACACCGGCTGCTAGATAGAGAGAGAGAGAGAGAGAGAAATTCTCATGTTTGAGTTAAAATGTAATTGCCCTCTGTTAAAAAAAAGAGTAGTACATGAGATCGGCTTCTTCCTGTAAGAAGGCAATATTTACAGTCTCAAATGCTCATAACATTTCCAACTCCTGATTGTTGGCTGTCATATTCCTTAATCAATGGCAACTTGCCAATGCTGGTGATGTCACCCCTCCTGAGCCAGCGGAGCTACACGACAGGATAGTGGCCCAGGACAACCTCTAAGAAGGCAATTCTTATGTTCCTGTGGATCAGATTAACAACAGAAAAACACATCAGAGTTTAGGAAATGTTTTTGTCTTCTTTATTTTATTTTGGTTTTGCCTGATATGCTAGCACAGACTCACACAGCTCCCTCTTTTAAAACATATCTTGGTGGTCACATTTTCTTGCCACCAGTTAACCTATTATAGATAACTGTAACTCATTACTTCTCAACTCTGCCAAGGGCATACTGCCTTCCCTTCATGCACACACATTCTTGCAGCAACCCTGAAAACTAGCAACATCCTTTAGAGGCCCCCACCTCACTGCTGTCACCATCAACTTCTTTGACTCCTTATTTTGTCTTTTGTTAACTTGTCCTAATGCCATGGGATGTATGGGGAATTTGTAACAATCCTTGGTGTAGAAATAGGGGTGTGCCAGCTACTGAAGTGTGTCCAGATTGTCTGCTGTAAAATGTTGGAAGGTTTTCTATTAAGGCATAGTTATCCAAGGGACGTGGTGGCACTGAGGGTTAAACCGCAGAAGCCTCTGTGCTGCAAGGTCAGAAGACCAGCAGTTGTAAGATCGAATCCACGCGACGGAGTGAGCTCCCGTCGCTTCTCCCAGCTCCTGCCAACCTAACAGTTCGAAAGCATGTAAAAATAGCAGTAGGCTACAGAATTGTACTCAGAAGGTTAATGGGTCCTTCTCTAACTGGCATGAGGTAACAAGAGGGGTACCCCAAAGTTCAGTCCTGGGCCCAGTCTTCTTCAATATTTTTTAATGACTTGGATGAGGGAGTGCAGGGAATGCTTGGCAAATTTGCAGATGAGACCAAATTGGGTGGAATAGATAATACAGTGGTGCCTCGCACAACGGGTGCCTCGTAGAGCGATGAATTCACTCTACGAGGCCGTTTTTGCGATCGCAAATGCGATCGCAAAACGGTGCCCGTATAGGTGGGAAACTGCAGAACGAAGGTCGGTAAGCTGCTCGCTTACCGACCTTCGCTTTGTGACCCGACAATCAGCTGTTCCGCGACTTCAAAATGGCCGCCAGAACAGCCAAAAGGGGCTGGGGCGCAGCGTTTTCGCACCCTTGGTAAGCAAGGGGAGCGCGTGAAAACGCTGCAGAAGCCCCGAAATGGCTGCGCGTAACCAAGGGCGCGTTAACGCTGCGCCCCGGCCCCTTTCGGCTGTTCCAGCGGCCATTTTGGACCCACCGGACAGCTGATTGACGGGTGGCAAAGCGAAGGTCGGGAAGCGAGCAGCTTACCGACCTTCGCTCTGCGATTTCCCGCCTATACGGGCACCATTTTGCGATCGCATTTGCGATCGCAAAAATGGCCTCGTAGAGCGAATTCATCGCTCTACGAGGTGCCCGTTCTGCGAGGCACCACTGTACTCTATGTGTAGCCATCCTTGAGAGAGAAAAATTTTCAAATCAACAGCTAGCACAAAATATGCCATCCAGAACATGATGTGGTTTGTGCTTTAGAAGTCAAACATCATGTCTTGAATAAATTGCACTGCCATCCAGTTGGTTTCCAAGTTCCACCCAAAGTGCTGACTTTCACCTACCAAGCTCTACATGGTTTGGGGACAAGGATAAAAGAAAGACTGTCTCCTTCCATACTAATCTTCCTAGCATCTGAGATCTTCAACAGAGGCCCAGTCCCATGTCCCATAGGTCTGGCTGGTGAGGTTGGTGAACCCAGGGCTTCCTCTGTAGTAGAACTTTGTTTATAGAAGTCCTTCCCATGGAGAGTCAGACATCGCTCTTCTATGCTTCTGCCAGGCAGCCCAAATGATGGTGCTTCAGACAGGCTGTTGGTCTTTAGAATTGGACTTTACAAAAAATGTTTGCTGTCTCTTTTTGGCAAATGTTGGTTTAACTTTCTTTCTGTTCTCTTTCTTTCTTTGTATTTCTTTGTGAAGGAGATCAAGGTGAAAAGGGTGACTCTGGAGAAATGGGGAAACAAGGAAAAGCTGGCCCCATGGGCACCAAAGGTAAAAGAATATGTAGTTATGCACTGTGATCTATAAATCAACCTGGGAACTTCTTGGTCCTGCAATACTGTACAAGTGTCAGTTGTTTTTCATTTGTATAACTTCTGGTTTACTGAGCAATTTGCTTTGTAGTAAACACGGAAGCTTTGTAGTAAAGATGGAAGCTGGGAGGAAAGCGATGACAAACCAAGAAAGCATCTTAAAAAGCAGAGACATCACCTTGCTGACAAAGGTCCGCATAGCCAAAGCTATGGTTTTGCCTGTAGTGATGTATGGAAGTGAGAGCTGGCCCATAAAGAAGGCTGACCACTAAAGAATTGATGCTTTTGAATTGTGGTGCTGGAGGAGACTCTTGAGAGTCCCCTGGACTGCAAGGAGAACAAACCTATCCATCCTGAAGGAAATCAACCCTGAGTGCTCACTGGAAGGACGGATCCTGAAGCTGAGGCTCCAATACTTTGGCCATCTCATGAGAAGAGAAGACTCCTTGGAAAAGACCTTGATGTTAGGAAAGTGTGAAGGCAAGAGGAGAAGGGGATGACAGAGGATGGGATGGGTGGACAGTGTCATTGAAGCGACCAACATGAATTTGGCCCAACTCTGGGAGGCCGTAGAAGACAAGAAGGTCAGGCGTATTCTGGTCCATGGGGTCACGAAGAGTTGGACACGACTTAACGACTAAACAACAACATCAAAGATTGCTATTTATCACTGAATATTTACTTAGCTTCCGTTACAATCATAGTTTACTGGTAAAAGGCATTCATAAAATTCCAGATTCAAATGTATGTTCATATATCAACCTAGGGCCAGCACTACCATTAGATAGAATGAAACTGGTGCTACTGCACCTCTTCCTCCGCCCACCGCTGTTCTTCCTTGACTTCTTGTCTATTCCCTTGTTGGAGGAGGCAGCGGTATAACGTATATCTTCCAACAATGGGTCCCACACTCCCTAAGTTCACCTGCTGTCCTCAGGTGTGTAGAGGACACTGTCTCATTGCTGGTAAATTTTAAAAAAAGTTTCAATAGCTAATCCAGCCAGATTCCACACAGGGAATTGGAATGGTGCCAACTTGTCCTTTTACCTCAGCAAAAAACTTATTGAAAATATCCATAGGCATAAATCAAACTCTTAAGTCCCAACAACAGACCCATTGAATCAGAAATTGTGTAAGTGTGGATGAAAAGTTCCACTGATTGAAAAGCTCTACTTTAGTGGACATTAACAACTGGATTTTTACCAATATTCTCATCTATCCTTCATCATTTTCCTGGGTTAACTGATGGTGGATGGATCGTCTCCAAAGCTAAGAAACATTTTTTCTTTTTTTCTATTCTGTTCTTTTCTTTTCTTGTGACTCTCTGAATCCTTGAGTCAGCAGCTATGCTGGATGGCAGATTCATAGAGCTTTTCCAAGTTCCATCCACATCAAGAGATGGGAAGGAAAAAGAGTCCTTCTAACAATTAAACAGTCTGCTTTTCATCAGAGCTAGATGGAATAAAGAGACAGGAGAGGTTAAAATATGCCTGAAAGACAGCAGCGACCATACCGATAGCCTGAAAGACAGCAGCACTAGCTGACTGTAGATTTCACAGCAAAATTTCACAGCAAAAGGCTTCATTATTTAGACAGAAGTAGCACACAAATAATGGCTGTATAAACTCTGTCCACACATTTACAATGGCCTAAACACTTCATGCTTTCAATCAATAAGATTTTTATGACTGAAGTGCATTCAATACCTAGCTGTAATAAAAATTCTCTGATGTGAGGTTGCTTCCTATTAGAAAAACAGGGTTGGACTCAAATGGAAGAGAAGATAGATGGGCTGCCATGTATACATTTATTGGCTCTTAAGAGGACATAAATGGAAGCCTCTGCAAAATTAAAACTGCTGCACACTTTAGCCTGCAGTGTTGCTATTTCTTGGCCTTCAGGACCATCAGCCAGCATAGCAGTTGAGTAATTTAGGTCTCTGGCTGTGGAGCCATAGGGTTGGGAGTTTGATTCCCACTGTGCCTCATTGAGAGGGGCTGGACTTGATGATCTATAGGCTCCCTTCCAGCTCAGCAGTTCTAAGATGATGATGACGATGACGATTAATGTGCAAGAATGCTGGGAGCTGCAGTCCAACAACATCTGGATCGAACATTTCATCTGCCTGATGTTGGCAAGTCTTTGAGCCCAAGTCCGAATCTTTGGCACCATGTCCCAACTCTGGGTCTGAGTCTTTGGTGCCAAGTCCCGACTCCCGAGCCAAGTCCGAATCTTTGGCACCATGTCCCAAATCTGGGTCTGAGACTTTGGTGCCAAGTCCCGACTCCCAAGCCCCAAGACCAAGTCCCTATTAAAAGCAAGCATTTTACCCAAGAAAAGGGGAGGGATGGGTGGGTTCCAAGTTGCAAGTCAAGTCCAAGTCATTGAAAGAAAAAATCCAGACCTGAGTCAACTCCACATCGAATCACGGGTGCAACCTAAGCTGGATTTGACAGCAAGTCCCACAACTAGAGTCCCCATCCCTCGGGGGGGGGGAATAAAATGCCCTTCCTGTTTCAGGGAAGGCATAATGGGCTTCCCACCCCTCACTGAAATGGCTTTGCTCTTGTAGCCAAGGATTCCTATGCTGAGCGCACTGTGATTCCATGGGGAAATAGATATGGCAATTTGTGCAGCAATCCAGGGCAATCTAGTTCCCAGCAATCCCTTGACACATGGGGACATCTGCTCCAGCCCAACCCTGATACATGCCCAAACTGGCCCTTTTTGGTCCATCTATGGAGCTTCTGCTTTGGGGATGGGGTCCCCTGAAAGACAGAAAGGTCTTTTGAAGGGAGATCACTCCTGTTAAAGCAACCCTTTCCAATGCAATCAGCCCCATGCCTTCACAACTACCAAACTGCACACTAAGCCTGTGCATGGTGAACATTCAAAGGCACATTGCACCCCCACTACATATATTTACACATAGAAAAAGTCTTTTCCACCCTTCTCCTGATTTTGACAGTCATTGTGATAGTGATCAGCAGGAACAGAGAAGAGCATAAAGTAAATTGGGAGTTAATTCAATCACATTCCCATTTCTGAATGAATCATCCTCAAAGAGTGCTTTTTTGAAACAAAAAGTACAACGCCTCCAGGCGCCTCCACTGGGAACTTTTCATTAGGTGAATAAGCTTTGAAAATGAATGTTAGTTTCCTTCTGCAGCACTGGTGTGTGTGTGCAGCCATCTGCCACCAGTCAACATAGTATCTCCGGTGGCAGCAAATCAAAGATGGTTCCTCTCCACAACCCAGTCTGTTGGGCTGGGCTGCCGAAGTACATGTGAAACCTTCTGTTGTGCAAGGAAGAGAGGGGAAGAAGTGCACACTGTTAACAGCTTCAATCATGCAGATGGTCGTATCTTCATGGTGGCTGTTTTCGGTTGCCCATAGTTGAGAACAGGGGGAAGCAATGTTCCTGTGGTTTGTCTGACAATCAGCAATGTAGCAGAGGAAGCCTTTACCAGGTTTGGAAATAATGAATTCCAAGCAATAGCATTTTCTGCAGGACTGTGAGGGGTACTTTGGCTCTCCCTCCCCAACTTGTCATGAAATGTTGGGGGACTTAAAAGGTAAAGGTAAAGGTTCCCCTTGACAATTTTTGTCCAGTCGTGTCCGACTCTAGGGGGCGGCGCTCATCCCGCATCTCCGGTGGCAGCAAATCAAAGATGGTTTCTCTCCACAACGTGAACCCAGTCTGGGTTATGCAAGGAAGAGAGGGGAAGAAGTGCACACTGTTAACAGCTTCAATCATGCAGATGGTCGTATCTTCATGGTGGCTGTTTTCGGTTGCCCATAGTTGAGAACAGGGGGAAGCAATGTTCCTGTGGTTTGTCCAACAATCAGCAATGTAGCAGAGCAAGCCTTTACCAGGTTTGGAAATAATGAATTCCAAGCAATAGCATTTTCTGCAGGACTGTGAGGGGTACTTTGGCTCTCCCTCCCCAACTTGTCATGAAATGTTGGGGGACTTAAAAGGTAAAGGTAAAGGTTCCCCTTGACAATTTTTGTCCAGTCGTGTCCGACTCTAGGGGGCGGCGCTCATCCCGCTCTTCAAGCCATAGAGCCAGCGTTTGTCCGAAGACAATCTTTCTGTGGTCACATGGCCAGTGTGATTTAGACACGGAACACTGTTTACCTTCCCACCGAGATGGTACCTATTTATCTACTCGCATTTGCATGCTTTCGAACCGCTAGGTTGGTGGGAGCTGGGACAAGCAACAGGCGCTCACTCGTCGCGTTGATTCGATCTTACGACTGCTTGGTCTTCTGACCCTGCAGCACAGGCTTCTGCGGTTTAGCCCACAGCGCCACCATGTCCCTGATGTTGGGGGACTTGGCTGGATATTATTTGACAAATAATGATTCCTAACAGCAGATAGTTAAAGAATTTGACTGTTCTGAATGTTCTTCCATCAACACTGCGCGAGATTACTTTTCTAAATCCTTGGTTGGAAACTTGGCATATATAAAAATCTAACTTCAATGGATTATCAAGAGCAATCACCCACCTTGAAACTGTAGGAATGGAACTTAGTGATGCACTGAAAATTGTGAAACAAACAGAGGGTAATTTAGAGCAAGCAAAGGGGATAGTGGCTGGGGAAAAAATGATAAACTGCAAAAAGTGCTGCAATGTAATTTTGAGTGACTCAAAACTTTGTAAAATAAGTAACGTTCTAAATGGACTTCAGAGGGTAATTTAGAGCAAGCAAAGGGGAAAGTGGCTGGGGAAAAAAAAGATAAACTGCAAAGAATGCTGCAATGTAATTTTGAGTGATTCAAAACTTTGTAAAATAACTAACATTCTAAATGGCTCTATGGCTTGAAGAGCGGGATGAGCGCCGCCCCCTAGAGTCGGACACGACTGGACAAAAATTGTCAAGGGGAACCTTTACCTTTACCTAAATGGACTCGAGGGAAAATTTGATAAGTTCAAGCCAGAATTTTCTCCAAATGAGCTGGCTGTTTTCAAGTTTGTTCCTATAACCTCATGTGATGTTGAACTGTTTCTCCAGATACAAGAACATACTGATGGTCAACAGAAGGAGTTTTGAGTTTTATAACCTCAAGATGCATGTAATTATCCAATGCAATTCTGCTGCTAAAAACTAATTCAGACATGACCATTTTATTCTCAAATTGTTCACTTGATTCCTTCAGTACTAGCAGTTCTGCACTGGATGTGAAGAAGAATAAACTTCCAATTTTTGTGTGTGTGTATAACCACAGATTGAAAATTATGTGCAAATTTTTTAAGTGAAGTCATGTGTTGTTTTTTTTGGTTTAATTGGTTATATTTAAACATTTTAAGGTCATAATTGCTTACATATTTCTGACATTTCCAGGTCATAGAAATCTTTGCCTTAATAACAATACTTGTAACCTTATTCCTCAGCAGCTACATCTTAGTCCCAGCTGTTTTTGCAGTGGATAATTAAACAGCCAATATTGTTTCTTCCTAGAACCATAACAATATCCACGCACTCCCTTGCTCTTGGAGCTATATAAAAAATAATTATGAGAATGACTAACTCTCCCATCATGGCCTGTATTCAGGCTCCCCCCTTTCCTTTCCCTGCTTGAAATAAGAAAGAAAAACATCAGGTGTTTGGAGAGCCAGCATGTAATGCACATAACCCAAGTGCTCTGAGCCAGATTAAAAAGGACACTGTGTGGTTTCTTTCCAGGAGACAAAGGAACAGTTGGCCATATGGGTGATCAGGGAATGATGGGTAAAATTGGACCAATTGGCAGAAAGGGTAAGTTTTCTTTTCATCATTCATCAAGCTTTTTGGATGTGTTGTAAGGCACAGTACCCAACATGAAACAGCTGCTATTTGTGCTTCCAAATTAAGCAGATGGCTTTTATTTCCAGAGCAAAAATTAAAAACAAAATAAAAATATTGAGATTAGATGGGATCATATACCTCCTATCCATGGCAAGCCGAGGTGAAGCCCTGCGACTGACAAGATGTTGCCTACAAGTTTTCAAAAACATCATCACAACCCTAAAGTCTAAGACTTAAAAAAAAACTTTAGAAATGAAAAGATGGCATAAAGCTTGGTGAACTGCAGCCAATTTTTTCATGTCTGGACAATCTTAGCCTGATGGGGGATGGGACCAAAATTTGACGTCATATAAGGAGAATTCTGACAGCTCCTTAGTCATGCATGTTTCATGCATGAGAAGTTTGCCAATTTTGGTCCATGCCCCAAAAATGAACTGTAATGCACTGGCAGAATCCAGTTGGTGGAGCTATGCATGACTTGAGTCATATGGCACATGTCTGTTATGTTTGTTAAAGACCAGTCGCTTGAGAAAAAAAAGAAGATTAAAAACAGGTGGGGACCCTGGAATTCGCTGCCGACTTTTTCAAAAGTAAAGCAACACCCTAGGCCTACATGAGAAAAAATCACTCTACAGTATTTTGCTTTCTCCCATATTTGAATTTTGTAAATTTCAGGTTGCATCCATACCAAATCTGAAGCAATATGTGAATTTGGGGGGTGTGGGGAAGCAAAATAAATAGAGACAATTTTTTCACCCTATCTGTAGCCTTCATCACAAAAGCTCCTTAGCTTAGTAGTAGAGAACATGTTTTGTATATAGTCATTTCTTAGAAGCGAGAAGTTACTTTTCCAGAGTAGTGAGCACTATAACAATAATGACAAAGATGCAATAAAACTGATGTAACAAATACTTAATGAAGTCACTAGTTATCCAAGTGGTCTTGTCTAAAAAAGTCACTTTCCCAGGATCTGAAGCAAACTTGCCAATTATTCTACTTCAAGAAATTCATGCTGGAGTCTCCCTTGGAAAATAGTAACCTTGAATGTTCTATCTTGTGGGAGACTAGAATATTCTCCAACCAGTTTCCGAATGCTATCATTTTGATATCAGGTTTGTGTCTGCAGTACAGAGCACAGATGGTGATTGTGTAGCCTTAGACAAGTTGGATGCAACCAGAATGTGATGCAGTGTGCCCTTCAAGCCCCATCTCACACCCTTCTTTATGGGGGGACTTGATTTCAGAAAAATAGGCAGGTGCAGCTGCCTGAATCTAGAATGGTAGCGAATGGAACAGGCTTGGCTCTCTACCCATGGCATAATGACTGGATGATTTATCCACTGTAGATAGACAGTACATTCTGGAGGGCATATGCATTGGACAGCATACATAATATGTACCACCTGTTCATTAAAAGAAATGCAGATATGGCTTCTTATGACATTTGGCCTCCATTGTTTTCAAAATGTGAAATAGCTATTTGGGCAGAAACTAAAGCAAGCGCATATGCTTCTCATTCCCTTGCTACTGCCATCAACTCTCTTACAAACCATGATCTTTCTCCAGGATTCGCATTTCGTCCCTGCAGGAACCGTCCAGCCACTATGTCTCTAGACAGAAAAATTCAGACCAAAACAAAAGCATCCCAAGGCAAGCTCTGTGTACATTTACTTGGAAATCAATTGCACTGTGGGCATTCAGTGGAATGTCCTCCCATGTGAGCATTTCCAAGGTTGGATGAAGTGTTTAATTTGGCCCAGCCGCTGGGGCAGTCTTGCCTATTCCGCAAAATCCATTCAATGAATATTACTCCATTGGGCTTGTTTGTGTATCTCTAGGAGTAAGAACATCTATTTTCTCCTTTGTTCAGGTGAGAAAGGATTTAAAGGTTTACCAGGTGGATCTGGAGGAAAGGGGAAAGCAGGTAATGTAGTTTGTTTCCCATCATAACTTTATGATTTCTGTCCTTTGTGTCAGGGATAACCAAAGTTCCCTCCAGATGGTGGTACCAGCAGGTGGGGAGGAGAGAAATGGCTAAGTCTTTGGCCTTAATCCCTTTTCTGCATCGCAGAGTACCAGCAGGTGGGGAGGAGAGAAATGGCCAAGTCTTTGGCTTGAAGACTCAGGTTTTTTTAGTCCCTTTTCTGCATCGCAGGCTCTGGGCCTAACATCTTTAGCTTCTAAAACTGCAAACTTGCAGCCAACCTAGGAAACCTAGATCTGGAGGCTCATTCTCATGACTTTGGAATATGTCCTTTGGATTTATTCAGAAGCACTCTTGCCTTTTTTCTTTTCTTTTTTTAATGAGCGCTACTGCTGGTGGCATTCATATATTGGCATATATACCCATTAGAGATCCTATATTCTCTCTCTCTCTCTCTCTCTCTCACACACACACACACACATTTTTGAAATGGGTGTAAAGGGTCCAACCAGCCCTGAAATATCAAGAAATGCGATACTGCTGACTTGCATTTTATCATTCCAGTTGACCTTCTCTTGTAAAAAAAATGCTTGTATAATACACTGGCTTCATCTAGTCCAGAAACCCCAACCAGCACAGTTGGTGGTGAAGTCTTCTGGGAATTGTAGTCCAAGAACACCTGGGTTACCCAAGCTTGGAAACCACTGATCTAGGTGGAAGGAAGTTGTGATGGACCTTCAGTCTTCTCCATCTAGGTTCACCCCAGGTCACACCCCCTCTCAGGCCCCACCCTCTGTCTTGGTCCTTATTTAGTCTATTCTCTCTGGTTCCCCAGCTAAAGAAATGACACAGGGAATTCTGCAGACATGGGGGAAGGACAATGCCTGAATGCAAACAGCTTTTCTTCCTGTTGTTCATCCTGGCTCCACCTGTCTTTGGTTCTGGATCCAGCCAGAATGTGGCACCCAGCAGGTTTTGACCGAAGCAATGCAGAGCTTTGTATGAAAAGGTTTCCCCCTCCGTGTTGCCATGCGACTAGGTGCATGATAATATTTAGTATTTATGAATGCTTTCAAATGTTTATACTGACTTACACTGTGAAGCACCTTCTTATAAACTTTACACAGTGGGGTGAGGTCATTTTGTTTTGTTACTTTTTGATTGCAAACTGGGGCAGGAAGGGCAGACGGGGCAGAGGGAGGGAGGAGAAACCCTCAGGCCACTTGTTCAAATTACACTGAAAGCAATAGCTGAATTAACAGCTTTCCGATATCTGGTGCTGTCTTGCAGAGTATGTCTACAATACACCATTACAATAGTTTTATACCACTTCCAGTGTCATGACGTCTTCTTACAGAATCCTGAGATATCAATCATGGCATACTTATTTTTAAATTCCCTGCTAGAAAATCTAACGGTACTCCCCTGAACTTCAGTACTGCAGTTTGGTATCACATCACCAGATGTCAAGTCACAGCATTCCATAAGATGATGCCATGATAGCAAAGTGGCATTATGTGATTACTGTGTAGGGCAGTGGTTCCCAACCTTCGGACCCCAGATGTTTTTGGAATAAAACTCCCAGAAGCTTTCATCACTAATTGTGCTAGCCAGGATTTTTGGGAGTCATAGTCCATGAACATCTGGTGACCCACAGTTGGGAACCACTGGAGTAGTGGCAAATATGCACATTCTCTATGCTGCATCAGGGCCTAAGGTGTAGTGTTGCTTACACATATAGTGCCACTCTCACTTCCTTCACTTCCCATATGTGTCCTCTATGAATGCCATGCCCCTACCAATGCATGTTCTTCTGGCTTTGTACCCTGACCATCCCTCACACAGTGAGGTGCTCCCCCTTGTATAGCTGTGAGATGTATGTGTAAAGGTTGGGACTGGGCCAAAGCAGAGCTTGGAAATAACTAGTTACAAGTAAGGTGGTTACCTGTAACTAGTTAATATCACAATAACAATTAAAGTAATAAGTAGTTGCAGAGATATAGCAACTGTAACGTAACAAGTCCTATTGCAGAGATCAGAAGATCAGCACACTGTCCAAGATGTCACTAGTAGGGATAAGAACCAGTATTATGCATTGATTGTATTCCTGCATTGAGCAGGGAGTTGGACAGGGAGTAGGCCCCCTCCAATTTCATTTTTCTATGATTCTATTGTTTCTGTGACCATACAGAATTATTTAAATTCATTAGACCCTCCAATTTCACTTTTCTATGATTCTATTGTTTCTGTGTCCATACAGAATTATTTAAATTCATTAGGAGCAGGAACTGGATTACAAAAATAAATTCCTACTCAAAGGTCATGATGACATGCATGCATTTACAATTACAGTATACAAATACACTCAAACTGCAACAGGGGTCTAGTAGATAAAATAACCACAGTATACAAATACACTCAAACTGCAACAGTTAAAATAACCGTGCACCTAAAATCATAGAGTTGAGAGAGAAGCAATGGACAAATATTCTCTCCCCTAAAGCTTGCACACTCCTTGGATTGCGAGGTCAGAAGCATAATGATATTTCAAGGTTACCACCTGGGACCAGGAGGTGTGTCATTTGCTGTCAAAGGGGAAGAATGTATGATGTCATAAAAGGAAGAGTTGGGAGAAAAGAAAACTCAACACATGTACAGATGCCTTCACCTTCACACTGAGCTAGCGGTGAGCTCTGGTGCCAGCTGGGATTGGGTGGAGATGATGGTGACCCAATGTTTAAAAATAGGTCACAAACATAGGACAAACTTTCCCTTCCTCTCGGAAGAGATTTGTCCCCCTGCAGTACCTTGCAAAGAACAGTTCGATGAAATTGCACGGAATTGCAATTTGCTATAAGCAAAAAAGCTTTCTGAATTTTCCTCCATAACATTTTGCCAATTTCCCCAGCCTACAAAAAGGTTATTTTTATCGTCCTACTCCCACAGCAGCTTGTGGAAGCTTGAATTCAAAGCATCACTGTAAAATAATGAGGTTGAAACTATAAAACAACACCGAGCAGTGCAATACAAAGGTTGCAGTAGTTATAAATATGCTTTTGCCCCAAACAGAGAGCACTCTGTAATCCTGCTGTCTGCTATGCGAGTCATACCTGTTTTGGAATCCTTATAATTCTGCTGTGTTTCAAATGGGAAGACTACCATTTCCTGCTCTATAAATTTGCCCTGGGCTTGTACTTTCCGTTTCGTGTATTAGAAAAATATAAAAATTTCTAAGTTTCTGCTTCCTATTTGAAACAAACCCAGACTTTTCCAAATGAAGGGAAACATGGTTAATTTAAATTAGTGAGAACAAACCATGATGAATACAAGGCTTTCATCTGATTCTGATTTATTTACTAACCAATTTAAACAAATCATAGCTCTCCATATGCAAACATAAAGGAGAAATGGGATTTGTTCAAATCAGAATCTGAAACTTTTTCTAAAAGCCGCTAATTGTTGTAAGCCACCCAGGGACCTTTGGGTAGAATGGGCGGCATATAAGTTAAATAAATAAATAACTGAATTACTCATTACTTTGCAATAGCCAGATTATTTTTATTGTTATTGCTGCCCCCCACAAAGCAATGTATTGTGTTTTGTGACATTAGCACAGTTGAGGTGTTGTTGAGTATCCTGAAAAAATATAGCAAAATGCTGCTTTAATCTGGATCCTTTGAGTGCCCAATTCTGATGCTTTTGCTTGAAAATATATAACAAAAATAAAAAGGCAAAACCAGAATTGGAAAGAGAATGGCATGAAATTTGAAAAATTCCTCCCTACATCCCTCTAAAAATGTCTTAATGCCCTTTAAAACTTACACTTTGAAATAAGTAAAAATCATTACTCATTGGCTGGAATCCTGTTACACGTAAACAGATTATGTCACTTTTAGACATTAATTGCTGCACGTTCAGAAATCTCCGCAGGCCTTATCAAGTCACGGGACTCCCTATACAACAGAGAATGTCTGAGGAGATTTCTTAACTTAGGGCAATTTACATCCAAACATTACGCTATTTGAGAAGCTAATCAGGTTAGACGCCTTCTTTCTGATATCTAATTTTCTTTAAAAAGGGATTTACTTTTTAAATGAGAAAATGTCCAGGTATGTGAGCCCTGACTGGCAGGCTGAAATGATGAACACATCAAGTTGTGGTGGCACTGAGAACTGAACAGAACTGTGAACAGTTACCGGTACTTTTTTGAACTAGAGCTCCTGGAATTAGCAGCAGCCGTGTTGGTTGGGGGATTTCTGGAGCTGTACTTTCATTTTCTCAAGTTCTGGAAATAAACTTAAATGTGAAGTCCCTTTTGTAGATCTGTGACTGAATTTTTGGTCTTCAGCTGTTTCAAGCTGAAACTAAACTATGTACTTAGCATGTACGTAGATGCAATGCTCCCTCAAGGAGTGAAATATGCCTATCATAATGCATGCTTTACCTCCTCTGTATTTTGCATGGTTTGCTTTGCGATTGGTCATTGAAAGCTAAGTTGTCAAGGGATCACCTCTGAGGAAACCCATTGCTGGAGCGAAAATATGTTAACTCTTGGAAGTACACATTATCCTTAGCTTGATTCTCCATTTACTGAAGTTCAGCGTAACCTGCTCCACAGGCCAAAGCCTCTCTGTTGTTTGCTGATGTTCACTTGGTCCTCACATGCAGTGTGATCTTGTCTATTGCAGTATGGTGCCGATTCTGTGGAGTGATCTCTCCATAGAGGTCAGATGGGCTTCTACTATGAAGTGCCTCCGCCGGCAAATTAGATGATATTTCTTTAGCTGCATATTTTTCCATCCACCAGTGATGCCAACTGCTCATTCTTATTTTGGATCAGATATTCTACTGTTTTATTATTTTATTGATTGGTGTTATTTTATTTTGTTATTTCCATTTTTTAAAAAAAATACATTGGGATTTTTTTTTAAATCAAGAAAAAGCAGATATAATAAATAAATGATTGTACTATCTATGGGTGTAAATGTTTTGAGGTACCTAGACACAAGAACACTGGGCCTAAGGAAGCATCCTTTTATGTTACTAGGGAATTCCCCTGGATCCACTAATGAAAGGAAAGTAGAATGGTGGGAAAATATTTGTTCCAAAGAGGTAATGTAGTGATCAGAGTATCAGATTAACATTGGAGAGACTCAGATTCAAATCTCCACTTGGAGACAATGGTGAGCCTCAGACTAGTCTACTTTACAGGGTGGTAATGAGAAGAAAAAGTGTGAAGGGGGAATACCTATAGACACCAAATGGGGCTCCTTGGAGGAAATACAATAGTTATAAAAGCAGAAAACAATATTGAGAAAGGCAAGAATTGAATTCTGCCAACTTCTTGGTCTCACTACATCTTTAAAAGTGGTTTGATGATGTCTAGGTAGTTTAACAAAATGGGTTTTAAGTTTATTATCCTGAAAGTGATATCTATCATCAACTGTGTTAGGCATGTTGACCATATAGGATTATCATAAGTGTGTTGATTTGCGTTTTGGACTACAGATCTCAAAGTTCTTGAGGCAGCTGCATACCTTTAATAAGGTTCTTGTTGCCTTTATTATAAGGATTTATTCTCAATGGCTATTGTATTCCTTACCCACCTTGATAACACTTGTTAGTGATATACCTCTATCGAATCAGGTTCCGTCTGTGACTGTGGGAAATATCGCAAAGTCGTGGGACAACTGGATATTAACGTGGCTCGACTGAAGAGTTCCATCAAATTTGTAAAAAACGGTACGTGTTGTATCCCATGATCAGTAACTGCCATTTGATTCTTCCGGCATGCCATCTTCTATCCTGATCAGTAAGCCAAATCTAATAATATGTTTCAGGTCCGTTGCAGGGAAGTAAACATTTCTAAGATCAGGAATGTCATTCCATCAGTCACCTCAGAGCTCTGGTGGGATCTGTGAGGGAGTAATGGTTTCACTTTGGAGGAATCGCACTGGAAAGGTGAATGCCGGTGTGATGCAGCCATTAGAGCATTGCACTGTGATTCAGAAGATCCAGGTTTTATCATCTGGATAGTAAATTTATCATGTGACCTGCAGCCTCTCACACTCTCTTAAACTGACTCGCCTCATTAGACTGCTGTGATGATAACAGTAAGAAGCAAGAGAAACATATACATACTGGCTTCAGTTTACTGGAGAAAAAGGTAGAGTAGAGCAGATAATACAGAAACAATAAACTAACAATCTGAAAGGAAGATGTATAAGATCACTGAATGAGTGCTAAGTAGGGTGGCCAGATGCAAAAGAGGACAAGGATTTTGTACCTTTAACAATTGTGTGGAGAATTTCGGCAGATGTGGGTTGCAGCAAAAATTGCACCAGCTAAGATTTCCTCAACTAAGCAATTGTTAAAGGTCTGATGACCTCTTTTTTATCCCACTCACCATACACGCGGGGAAGGGAATTCAGGAAAAGCTTCAGGAGATAAAAGTAGTCATGGAGGAGAAAGCAAGAATCAATAAACCAGGATTTATAAATTCTGATAAATGCAGATTAAGTTAAATGCAGCACAACACCATTATTAAGATATCCTGTATCTCCAGAGTCAGCATAACAATGTTCAACACCCAGTAGGAACGGAATGAGAAGCAGGAGGTGAGGGGGAGGGTGAAGCAGGAACAGATTAGGATGAATACACATCCATGAGGCACAAGTGACACAACATGTGTGTGGTTCTTAACCTGATTTCTGCACCCGTGTACAAAATTAATCACACAATTTGGCCACAGAATGATGTCCGACAGAAAAGGAATGCTTTACAGAATTAAGAGGGTTGAGTGTATGCTACCAAAAGGAAGTTAATGTGGTGGACTATTGTGGGGCCAGCCCTATCATTAGACAGTATGGCAAACACCTCATGAAGCAGATCTTGTAGCGGAAGAGAAAATAGCAGGTTGGGCTGTTATTACCAATTGTGCGGTTGGTCTGTCCTTTTGGAGCTGCATGTGTCACTCATTAGGTTACCTAGAATCAGCGCTCTCCTATCACATGTGACAATGCCCATCCAGACAGCTTCTGTACATGGAAACAGGGTACCATCTTGTTTCTCAGTTCAGGCAGCAAAATATCACAGTCAGCCCCAAACATTAGGCAAACTACCTATGTAGAAGAACAATTTAGCAGTAGAAATAATGTGTGTGGCTTAAGGAACTGTTTTTCTTTGCACTAAAGATAAAAATAAACCCTAACCAAGAATTCGAAGATATTCTAGTCACATAGATAGAATTCAGAGGTCAAGGTCATAGGCACCTGTAAATTGACTGTGAGGCATTCTTAAACCTCCACTCTATAGTGCATGTTCCTAACAAGCTATTTTCTTTAAAATGAAGGAGAGTATCACAGATATCATAAAAAGGCAATTTAACGAAACATATTGTTTTGTTTCCCCCCCCCCAAGTGTTAGCTGGAATCCGGGAAACGGAGGAGAAATACTACTACATTGTACAGGAAGAAAAGAGCTACAAGGAAGCCCTCACTCACTGCCGGATTCGGGACGGGATCCTGGCAATGCCAAAGGACGAGGCCGCCAATGCAGTGATCTCTGACTACATCGCTCAAAGTGGCCTTTTCCGAGTCTTTATTGGGTTGAATGACATGGAGACTGAAGGACAGTTTATGTATGCTGACCGTACCCCACTGCAGACCTACAGCAACTGGAAGGAGGGAGAACCTCAGGATGAGTCCGGGGAGGAAGACTGTGTGGAAATGCTCAGCACTGGGAAATGGAACGACACAGAATGCCACCTCACTATGTATTTTGTCTGCGAATTCCCAAAGAAGAGGAAGTAGGCACCAGAAGGCATGGACAGTGCATCCTAAGCTCACTTTCTGAGGATCCCCCTCAGATCTGAGAATCTAGGAGAAGAATCTCTCATAGGGTGCCCATAGAAACTCCTGGGGTGCCCCTGCCTGGTCACCACTCTTATTTCAGAGCCTGGAAACATTTTCCAAAATACAGTGGTACCTCGACTTACGAACTTGATCCGTACTGGAATAGCGTTCGTACATCAAAAACTTCGTAAGTCGAGGCAAACTTTTCCATAGAAATGCATTGAAAACCATTTAATCTGTTCCTGCTATTTTTCGTTCTGAAGTCGAGGCGCTGTTCTTAAGTCGAAGCGTTAGTTCCCATAGGTACTAATGCAAAGCTGGTTAATCCGTACTCTACCACTAGGGGTGAATTTTTCTTCTTCTTTTGACCTAAGGTGAACTTACTGTAGGTAAAAAAAAAAAAGGGCAGGAAAGGGGTTTCTTTTCTTTCTTTCTTTTTTTGGTTCGCAAGTTGAGGCTATATTTGCAAGTCGAAGCAACTTTTTGCGAACAGAGCTGTTCGTAACTCGATTCGTTCACAACTAGAGACGTTCGCAAGTCGAGGTACCACTGTACCAGCAATCAGCATCACCTTTTATTGGTAGTAGTATTTTTAAGCTGACACATCCCTTTGTACAGCGGTGCCTCGCATAGCGAGGTTAATCCGTTCCGGATTAACCCTCGCTGTGTGAAAGCATCGTTGAACGGGGCAAGAAAACCAATTGGAACGCATTAAACAGTGTTTAATGCATTCCAATTGGGCTGAATACTCACCGTTCAACGATGCTTCCGGGCGGCTGGCAGCCATTTTCGCGCCCTCCCCTCGCTGAAAATGGCTGCGATCAGCTGTCTGGCAGGTCCAAAATGGCCGCCAGAACAGCCGAAATGGCCGGCCGCAGCATTTCCGCGCCCTTGGTAAGCAAGGGGAGGGTGCGAAAACGCTGCGAGCAGCCATTTCAGCTGTTCCGGCAGCGTTTTCGCGCCCTCCCCTCGCTTACCAAGGGCGCGAAAATGCTGCGCGCGGCCATTTTGGGGTCGCACGGTGGCCATTTTGGACCCGCCGACCAGCTGATCGGTGGGTTGCAAAGCGAAGGTCAGTAAGTGAACCGCTTACCGACCTTCGCTATGTGAATTGTGCCCTATCTAGGTGCCATTTTGCGATCGCTTTTGCGATCGCAAAAACGACACTGTTGCACGGATTCGTCACTCTACGGAGCGACCGTTCTACGAGGCACCACTGTATTTGATTGGCCTTTACCTTAAGAAGAAAGAGATGAAAGAAGAATATAGCAGAGCGTACCACCTGAGATCACTGGTTGGGAAAACATATATGGGTGCTCCCACATCCTACAATAAATAAATAAAAACCAGCAAGTAGACAATCAAAGCAGGTATCAAATGCCTGGGTTAGCGTTCTCTTCATGAGTTGTAGGTGGGGCAAAACGGGGACCTATCTTCATACAAGCAATCTGAAGTGGTGCCGTTCATTGAACCTCACTCCTCTGCATGCATAAAGCACATTTACGGTGACAGACTTGTTCTGGAGCACTTGTCAGAGGCTTTGATCGATCAATTGTGAGTGGCATCACTTTCCAAGGCTCCTATCTGCATAGGTGTACATGGTGTTTTACAGATTAGATTGTCGGATCGAAACTTGTGAAATCCAGGTTCATGTTTCCACTGAGTCATGAAAACCACTGGTGACCTTGGGCCAGTCACACTATTTCCATTTGGCTTATCTCACAGAGTCATTGTACGCATAAAATGGGGAGGAGAGGCATCACCTGAAGTTCAGTGAAGACATAACTAATAAAATGTGTCATATACTTTACCAATAAATAAATAAATAAGCTATCTAACCTCACCGAATTGTGAGGATACAGCACCATGCAGTCTAGAATGCACACCACAGTATGGAATATTGTAATATAATATAAATCTAACCAGTAAGCTGTGTTAATACTTTTGTTGTAATATAAACAGTAAGCTATCTTAAATTATGTTTGGTCTTCTGTTTAGTAACTTGATTTCCAATCATCATCATCATCATCATCATCATCATCATCATCATCATCATCATCATCATCATCATGTGCTGTCAAGTCCCTTTTCACTTACAGCAACCCTTTTCAGAGTTTTCCAGGTATAGAAATGGTTTCCCATTCCCTTCCTCTGGGGGCGCCCTAGGATTATACAGCTTGTCCAGGGCCACACAGGCTGGCTTGATTCACAAGAGGCAAACTCTGAACCTCCAGCTCCACAGCTAGATACTTAAACCACTGAGCTATCCAGCCAGTTTTTCAAAGCAACCATTGCCAAATTCTCACCCACCCAATCCTGAGTTGTTTTTATGCTATGGCCCTCAGTACTTCTTACAAAGAACAATTTATGTGGTCACGTTGGAGAGTAAAGTAAGCTGACAAGCTGGAATCACAAGTTAATTTGGGAGATACCACTTGAGTCACCGGCATCCTGGATGGATGTTCTAGCTAGCATCATTCAACCAAATCAACAACACTGGAGAGGGTGTTGAAAGAAAGAGGCCAGAAATGGCTCCATGGCTTAATGCAGCTATATCAACAAGAACAACAGCATTGTTGTTAATTTGGGAGATACCACTTGAGTCACCAGCATCCTGGATGGGTGTTCTATAGCTAGCATCATTCAACCAAATCAGCAACACTGGATAGGGTGTTGAAAGAAAGAGACCAGAAGTGGCTCCATGGCTTAATGCAACTATATCAACAAGAACAACAGCATTGTCCAAAAAAGACTCATTTGTTAACACCCAGAAGCAGGTATAGGAATGAGGAAATGGGCACCTTGTCTGATGTATATTCTAGATTAGGGCATGGTTACACTATTGAGATACAGTGGATCAGAGTTTTAGATTAGGGCATGGTTACACTATTGAGATAAAGTGGATGATGAATCAGAGTTTTTGAAGTTGGTTTAAAATCACATGGATTTTAGATCAATTTGTGCATCCTCTTGGAACAACTTTTAATCTGTTTTTAATCTGTGTTATATATAGGTTGAGGGGGGTATGCCGGTTTTTAAAATCATTGCATTTGAGGCTTTGCCCTACACACATTTGCCCGTTCTTATGCTGACTGCCTCTCACTGCCACTCACTTCTGCAGTTAATGGTGTTATGTTTTATAATCTGGTCCAGAATTTTCCCTGGAACTGATATCAGGCTGACTGGTCTTTAGCCCCCTCGTTCGTCCCCTTTGCCCCTTTTGAAGACAGGGACAAAGTAATCCCTCCTCTATTCATCTGGCACTTCACCCATCCTCCCTATTTGAAGAAAATAATAGACACTGGTTCTCTTCAGTCAGTTCCTTCAATATTATTGAATGCAGTTCATCTGGCCCCAAGGATTTGAACTCATTTGTTTATCAACCTCAAGCTTCAATCCCATCCCCTCGTTTTGCACTTCACATTTGCCTGGAGGGTCATACACTGTGTTTTGAGGAAAGACCAAGATGAAGTAGGAATTTAACACTTCTGCTTTTTCTTTGTCATCTGTTACCATTTTCTAGTCCCCATTGAGTAGATGAGCCAGTGTTTCTTTTCTCTGTCTTTTTGCTATGCACATATATGAATGCCTTTTTGCTGCTTTTAACATCCCTTGTTGACCTCAGCTCATTCTCAGCTTTTGCCTCCCTAATGACATCCCTGCACTTCTTTGCTCCCTGTCTGTACACTTCCATTGTGGTCTGTCATCGTGGCCATTTTAACTTTGGAGGGGTAGTGCTAAAAATAGTGTTAGAATCATAGAATTAGAGGAGAGTGAAGGGATGAATGCCTTTTTGCTGCTTTTAACATCCCTTGTTGACCTCAGCTCATTCTCAGCTTTTGCCTCCCTAATGACATCCCTGCACTTCTTTGCTCCCTGTCTGTACACTTCCATTGTGGTCTGTCATCGTGGCCATTTTAACTTTGGAGGGGTAGTGCTAAAAATAGTGTTAGAATCATAGAATTGTAGGAGAGTGAAGGGCATCAAGTTCACCCCCCAGCTCAATGCAGGAACACAATCAAAGCATATCTGCCAGGTGATTATCCAAGTTTTTCTTGAACGCCTCCAGTGTTGGAGCACTCACCAACTCCCGAGGTAAGCGGTTCCACTGTCATACTGCTCTAACAGTTAGGATGTTTTTCCTGATATTCAAGTGAAATCTGGCTTCCGTTAACTTGAGCCCATTGTTGCATGTCTTGCGCTCTGGAACGATCAAGAACAGATATTGTCCCTCCTCTGTGTGACAGCCTTTAAAATATTTGAAAAGTGCTATAATATCACCCCTCATCNNTTAAAATATTTGAAAAGTGCTATAATATCGCCCCTCATCCTTCTTTTCTCAAGGTTAAACATGCCCAGTTCTTTCAGCCTTTCCACATAAGGCTTGGTTTCCAGCTCCCTGATCATCCTTGTCACCCTCCTCTGAACCAATTTGTTACCATGCTTCTTGAAGTGTGGTGTCCAGAACTGGACACAATACTCAAACTGAGGCCAAGGTGTTGTGCTTCTTGAAGTGTGGTTATTTATTTATTCCATTTATTTATTTATTTATTCCATTTATACCCCGCCTATCTGTTCATTGCGAACAGTCTCCAAAGTACTTCAACCAATATGATGTTCTCCTTCCTTAAATCCTTTTCCTATTTATATTGCTCAGAATGATCATCTGTAATAATGGTGGTCCATCGGTCCAGATAGGCGGGGTATAAATCAAATAAATAAAATAAAATAAATCTGTACTTTTCATTTCTCATTGCATGACCAAAATATTCTAGCTTTCTGCAGTTTGTGAGTTTTATGATTTTGTGGTCTTGAATCATTCCTCCTAGTACTTCTTTACTGGTCACTATCTCAACAAAAAAAATCATCATCATCATCATCATCATAGAACTGCATAGCTGGAAGGAGCCTTATGGATCAAGGAGGCACAGTGGAGAATTGAACTCCCAACCTCTGGCTCCACAGCCAGAGACCTAAACAACTTGCAGTAAATTCACATTTTAAGAACATATAGCAACACACAATGTGCATAGTCAAAGCCAGTGTTATGTTTCTGCTACTTATTACATTTTTCATCTTAAGGAACAGCTCTTGGCTGTTTCTACTCTGTGTTTCACTGCACTGTTATGCTACCTCGGTTAATTCAGTCAAACTGCAGGAATCTTTATTGT